TCTCTCTCTCTCTCTCTCTCTCTCAGATGAACTTTACATTAAGTGTCGTCTTAATGACACTTGAAATGTAAATGGCAAGATAACTGGGAGAATAGGGGAACAGTAAATGGTCTTTGGTGTTGGTAAGAGAAAGGATGAGAAACTATTAAAAAGCTGAGCATCAAAACCAGAAGATTTTGAAATATGAATGACCAGCATTGGTTTTCAGTTTTCATTAGAGAATTCTCAGGAGTTGGATGTGATGTTTTGGTTCCTCTCCCCTCCCCAACTTCAGTGTGTGTATCCATATAATCCAATACCATGAGCACACCTAAAAAATGAACTCTGTAATGTCATCTAATACATTCTCTAGAATCAAATTTTCATAATTGATTCTAAAATATCTTTTTTGGTTCATCTTTTCAAATTGTATCTGGTATGGGTCATACATTACATTTGGATGTACTGTCTACTTAGTCTTTTAAATCTGAAACATTCTCTTCGTCTTTATTTCTGCAGTGACATACGTGGTTTTGAACAATTGTCATAATGTCTCACATTCTGGATTTGTTTAATCATTTCCTTTTGATATCTGCCTCTTGAAGTTTCCTGTAAGTGTTTGCTTGATTATATTCAGGTTATACATTTTAGCAAAAAATTACTTCATAGGTGATTTATATACTTCATAGTGCAGGCAGCTAGAAGGCACAAAATAAGAGTCAAAGATTCATTAATTGGCTTTCTTTTTCTTTCTTTTTTTTTTTTTTTGAGACAGTCTCGCTTTGATGCCCAGGCTAGAGTGAGTGCCATGGCATCAGCCTAGCTCACAGCAACCTCAAACTCCTGGGCTCAAGCAATCCTGCTGCCTCAGCCTCCCAAGTAGCTGGGACTACAGGCATGCACCACCATGCCCAGCTAATTTTTTCTATCTATATGATAGTTGGCTAATGAATTTCTTTCTATTTATAGTAGAGATGGGGTCTCGCTCTTGCTCAGGCAGGTTTCAAACTCCTGACCTCGAGCAATCCGCCTGCCTAGGATTACAGGCGTGAGCCACCCCGCCCGGCCAAATTGGCTTTCTTTAAAGGAGATTTCTCCACTGGTGATGAACTGTAGTTACTCCAGAAAAGGTTGGGTAAGTGTAATCTTCCCACTTTATTTACCAGTTTTTAAAATAGAGATTTGTGTACAGATGGTCCTTGACTTACATTCATTCAATTTATGATTTCTCAACTTTACAATGGTGTAAAGGCGATACACATTCAGTATGTTCCTCACTTTGGAGGAGCATGTGTAATATTGATAGTCTCTTCCGGTGGTAGCAAATGAGGCTTTCTTTCTTTTTTCTTTCTCTCCTCCTCTTTTTTTTTAAAATCCTTTTTCTATAATTATTATGGATTCATTTTTGTATCTACTGTGTTATCAGTTAATTTTCTTGATGGCCAGATCATCTCAAATTTGGCTGGTGGGAGCCCCTCCACGCTCTCTTTAGTCTTTGAGTGAGTGCTTCCTTGATTTTTGGCAGAAAGATTTTATGGGTTTTTCAGTTGCTTTGTTTGATTTTGTTGAGACAGAGTCTCACTGTGTTGCCCTGAGTAGAGTGTAGTTGGTGCCATTGTAGCTCACTGCAACCTGCCACTCCTGGGCTCAAGCAATCCTTTTGTGTCTGCCTCCTAGGTAGCAGGTAGCTGGGACTACTGGCCTTCAGCACAAGGCCTGGCAGGGTTTTTTGTTTGTTTTTTCTTCTCTTTTTGGTAGAGATGAGGTCTCATTCTTGCTCAAGCTGGTCTCAAACTCATGAGCTCAAGCAGTCTTCCCCCGTCTGCCTCCCAGAGTGCTAGGATTACAGGCATGAGCCACTGTGTGCTGGGCCTGGGTTTTTAATTGTGTACAGATGACATCTTCACTTAAAAATTCTTGAAATTCTTAGCTGGGCATGGTGGCACGTGCCTATAGTCCCAGGTACTCAGGAAACTGAGGCAGGAGAATGGCTGGAGCCCAGGAGTTTGAGATTTCAGTGAGCTATGATGAGGCCACTGCACTCTATCTAGCCTGGGTGACAGAGCGAGACCCTGCCTCAAAAAAAAAAATTCTTTAAGACGTTTTGAAAAATCTTTCTAGAGCACTGGAGGGTGGTTGAAAAGTAAATACCAGTCAGCAAGGAGCCTGCCAGTTCTCTGTTCTTTGTTTCCTGAGAAGAGGGAAACATTAGCACTTAACTACAGTGCAAACTCCACTCTCAAAAACCAGTATATACTTTAGGCTACATGAGGAGTTCCCCACTTAATTATCGGCAAGAAGATTGTTAACATCTTTCAATTTGGAGAATAATCAGCCCATATAGCACCTTCTCACTCTGCCTTGATAACAGCAGCAACTTTTTAATATACAGTATATTTTTTATTCTAATAAAAAGGAACAAAGATTGCTTCCCTACCTTATTGCTATTCTAAGATTAACTCATCGTTGGCTATTAATGTTTGATTATATACTTAATCTAAAATTTATATCCATAATATTTTTATTGGAATCTTAATTTCAGTATCAAGTCAACAAACTAGATGAAAATTTTCCTAAGTCAAGGTTTAAGATGTCTATAAAAATACATGTTTGAATAAGTAGGGTTGAAAACAAAGCTGAGTAATAGCACATTCAATTGGAGTACATGTTGTTTTTCTTTTTTTTGAGACAGAGTCTCGCTTTGTTGCCCAGGCTAGAGTGAGTGCCATGGCGTCAGCCTAGCTCACAGTAACCTCAAACTCCAAGGCTCAAGCAATCCTCCTGCCTCAGCCTCCCGAGTAGCTGGGACTACAGGCATGCGCCACCATGCCCAGCAAATTTTTTTCTATATATATTAGTTGGCCAATGAATTTCTTTCTATTTATAGTAGAGATGGGGTCTCGCTCTTGCTCAGGCTGGTTTCGAACTCCTGACCTCGAGCAATCTGCCTGCCTCGGCCTCCCAGAGTGCTAGGATTACAGGCGTGAGCCCACCGCACCCGGCTGGGTTTGCATATTTGACATGATACCTGACCAGTGAAATCTTTACTGTACATCAGTACAAGTATGGTTGAAATAGACATGTTGTTCTTCTTTTTTAAATTAAATTATTAACATTTTTACTGTATCTTTTTCTTTTTTTTGTTTTACACACATGTATAGTCACATGCCAAGACATTGTTCTTATTGTAGTTTTTGCCCTATGACTTCTGCTACTACACTTACATCTAAAATGTTCTTTCTCTCTTTTTTAAAACACAGTCACACACCTCATGGTTTTGTCTTAACTTCGCTGTTAATGCTCTTTCACTGATCACTCTTTCATCAGAACTACCATGTTTAAAAGCTAATACCATAAAGCTGCATATATAGAGAGTAATACATAGAGAATCTTTCCTAGTACAGTGAAAGAAAGATTCTTGGACAAGGTTGTTATCTGTCTTATTTATCATTCTATTTCAAGCATTTAGAAAAGAATCTGACACAGTACTTTCTTGATAATTATTGAATGTCGTTACTAAGGGATTGATCATGTGGTATATCTATAAAATGTGACTCCATTCTGCCCACCTAAAAAATGATATAAAGGTATGTATGCACTGACATAGAAAGGTGTCTGGTATAATTTTAAGTGATGAGAGAAAATTATATAAAACCATAGAAATATAAAATATAATTTTCCTAAATTACGTAAGTATAATTTTCTGTATACATAAATGACAATAGGGAAAATACTAATAACACTAATTACCTATGGTGTTGGATGGGAGGTGAATATGTTATGTATTTTTGTATTTGAATGTTTTAAACAAGTATAGTAGTCCCCCCTTTACCTGTAGTTTCACTTTCTGTTGTTTCGCTTATTCACAGTACAGTACAATAAGATAGTTTGAGAGAGCATGAGATCACGCTCACATAATTTTTTATTATAGTGTATTATACTTTTTCTATTTTACTATTAGTTGTTGCTATTGATTTCTATGCCTAATGTATATGTTAAACGTTATTTAGGTATGTATATATAGGGAAAAACACAGTATATATTGGGTTCGGTACTATCAGTGGTTTCCGGCATCTGCTGAGGGTCTTAACGTATCCCCTGCAAATAAGAGGGGTGGGGGGACAACTGTGTGTGTGTGTGTATAATTTTTAAGAAACAACTCATAAATACTTTAGAATGGTATTGGATAAAAGTTTAAGAAACTTAAAAATTTTTCGTATTTCGCTATAGAGGCATATGATCATCCTCACTTTAGGAAAAAAAGCATACAAAATATACTGTACATAGAGATTGCGTGGAGCACAGTGTTAAAGTTCTCTCTCTTGCCTTCCTCTTCCTGCCTTGCCACCCACTTACACCCAGAGGAAGCCAGTTATATCGTTTATTCTTTCATGTATTTTATATGCATATATAAAGACAAATACAACTTATTCTCAGAGTTGGCATTTTAAAAAACAACAACAACATGTGTATCTGGGCACTTATTATTATTTTTAAAGACAGGGTTCCACTCTGTTGCCTAGGCTAGAGTGCAGTGGCATAAACATAGCTCACTGCAACCTTCAACTCTTGGGCTGAAGCAGTCCTCTGTCTCAGTCTCCCAAATAGCTAGGACTACAGGTGCATAATACCACACCCATCTAACTTTTTATTCTTTGTAGAGACTGGGCCTTGCTAGATTGCCCAGGCTGGTCCCAGAATTCCTGGCCCCAAGGGATCCTCCTGCTTTGGCCTACCAAAGTGCTGGGATTGCAGATGTGACTCACTGTGTCTGGCCTGTGACATTCTTTTTAATGGCTGTATAGTAATTCATTGTAGTTGCATATGCCATAATTTATTTAACCAGTGCAGTGATTTTTCCAATTAAATTTTCTTTTTTCTTACGGAGAAGTATCTCTCCCAATCCAGTCTTAACAAAATAATGCATTTAGTTTTGTGATCCAAGCTTTGGTATTTAGTGTTCCTTTATTTTATTCTGTATTCCCTTCTGTTGGTTTTGATTTTATTTCTATATCCTTTAGGTCTACGGATCAACGGAGAATTAATTACTGCCTACCCCCAAGTGGTGGTAGTGAGAGTACCAACCCCTTGGGTGCAAAGTGATAGTGACATCACTGTTTTGCGCCATCTAGAGAAGATGGGATGCCGGTTGATGAATCGACCTCAAGCCATCCTGAACTGTGTTAATAAATTCTGGACGTTTCAAGAGTTGGCTGGCCATGGCGTTCCTCTGCCAGATACTTTCTCGTATGGTGAGATCACTAATGAGAATGTATAGCCTAAATGTTAGAGCACTGGTAATTTTGAAAGCCATACTAAACCAATAGGCTAAATTTGTAAACATGAAAGAACTTCTTATAGAAGTGACTTTCGGGCCGGGCGTGGTGGCTCACGCCTGTAATCCTAGCACTCTGGGAGGCCGAGGCAGGCGGATTGCTCGAGGTCAGGAGTTCGAAACCAGCCTGAGCAAGAGCGAGACCCCGTCTCTACTATAAATAGAAATTAATTGGCCAACTAATACATATATAGAAAAAATTAGCCGGGCATGGTGGCACATGCCTGTAGTCCCAGCTACTTGGGAGGCTGAGGCAGGAGGATTGCTTGAGCCTAGGAGTTTGAGGTTGCTGTGAGCTAGGCTGATGCCACGGCACTCACTCTAGCCTGGGCAACAAAGTGAGACTCTGTCTCAAAAAAAAAAAAAAAAAAGAAGTGACTTTCGGTTTTAACAAACTGGGCAGGAAAATTATGAATCACGTCTTAAGATTAGTTCTACAAAATGGGGTAGAATGGGGTTAGCAGACTTTCATTGTAAAGGACCAGATCGTAAATATTTTAGGCTTTATGGGCCTTAAGTTCTCCATGGTGATCTTAGTAATGCTGTTGTAGTGTGAAAGCTGCTATAGACAATGCTTAAACAAATGAATGTGGTTTTGTTCCAGTAAAACTTTATTCATTAAAAACAGGCTCTAGGCCAAATTTGGTGCACAGGCAGGCCTTAGTTTGTCAACTTTTGAGGTAAAAGGTAATAAAATTTGACATCTCTGTTTAATTTCTCATTGTCTTCAGTATTTGCTTGATAACACCTCAAGTAAATTCATTATTTTAAGAAAATGTTACTTTTCTGTGTATAAAGCAATGCTTCTAAAACTAACTGTGGTGAAGGATCATTTTTTTAAAAAGGTCAATCTGCTGTGGATTAATACTCATGTCAGTACAATGGAAATATAGCAATGCCAGATGGCTATAAAAGCTTCTGATGCTTACTCTTACTTTTATACTTATTTAACCATGTATCAATAGCAAACAAGTCACAAACAGGCATAGGTTACAGGACCACACTTTGTGTAGCACTGCTCTAAACAATGTTATGCTAGTGTATATTCTGCTCTTCCGGTTCTTCTGGTTTGGAAAAGATCAGACTTACTATAAATCAGAACGGAGTTTTCCGGAAGGTATTTCTCCAAGTAAATATTCAATAGAATGCTTGGAGATTTAATGAGGTTTTAAAAAGAAACCCTTGTTCTCATTGTAAATATTTTAAAGAAGGGAACCTCCAAGCCTTTGTAGCATGTGTGAATGTACTTGCTACTTTTAGCAATTGCACAGGAAGAGACAGAATTAATGCATTAAACTGGAGAAATCTATCTTTCTAATGCTTTTGGGATATTATTGCTTAGATCATGGTTCTACAATTTTGATTTTATGGGAATGGAAAGGAAAAAGGTTAACCAGATTAGCAAATATTACCTTTGTTCTAATGACAGATTAAGATTTGGTGACTAAATCATCATAATTTTCCAAGCTACAAATTACTCGTACTGCAGTTATTTAATGAACTTTCTCCTGACTTAATTTTTCTCTATCATGCTGATTTTGATAGCTACGATCTATTTTTGCCCTAATCTGGCTATTATTTGTTCCCGGGCAATAAAAATAGTAATAAGCAAGGTTTAACCCATGGATGCTAAGTTACCTAAATGTAGAACTCTGATTAACAATTTAGATAAGAAGTATTGATATTTGTTTGATAATAAGGAGGGTTTATATGTGTGTGCAGCATCTCTTAATTCTTGGACAAGTCTTCTTAACCAACTCATTCTTCAATTTCTTAATCCAACTAGGGAAGTGGATATATTAAAGTAAATCTCTGGGCCGGGTGCAGTGGCTCACGCCTGTAATCCTAACACTCTGGGAGGCCGAGGCAGGCGGGAGGATTGCTCAAGGTCAGGAGTTCAAAGCCAGCCTGAGTGAGACCCCATCTCTACTAAAAATATACAGAAAAAATTAGCTAGGCATGGTGGCACATTCCTGTAGTCCCAGCTACTTGGGAGGCTGAGGCAAGCAGGATGATCCAACTGACCCCAGGAGTTTTGAGGCGTTGCGTAGCTAGGCTACTACGCCATTGGCACTCTAGCCCTGATGCAACAGCAGTGGAGAGTCAGTTCTCAAAATAGAATATAATAAATAAATAAGCAAGAAATCTTGGGGCTTTTATTATTTGTGTGGTAGAGGAATAAGGGGAAAAAATATGAAATGGTATAGAATTAGGAAACTCTGTAGCTGAAAGATGTAACTTTTAAGTTGATATTCAGAATAGTTATATGATCGAATCACTTTAATGAATGGTCTTATTTATTGAAAATCAGTTAACCTTCATAAATTAATTTATCTTCCAAAAAAACAGAGTAAACCCAATAAACAACATCTTATACACATTATTCTGCCTGCTTTGTCTGTCTATCAGTGTCACAATCTGGAGATCCACAAAACATCTGTCTCTCTTCTACTCAAAATTTTTATACTCTATGTGCACAACCAAATGACATGAAAATTTGTAAAATGAAGTACACTGAGTCCAATCGGTAATAACATACACGGGCATAAGGTACATGTCACCGCTCTAATTTTCATGAAACTACTTGTGAATTAAAATGGCGTGGATTCGAACAATAGAAAGAATCGACGAAGGAGTGTTAGGCACACGAAACCTCAAAATTATAGAAAGTGCCGGTGTGTGGTACTCACGCCCTGAATCCCTAGTCACTTTGGGAGGGCCTAGCCGGAGCGTATTGCCTAGTCAGCTAGTTCAAAACCAGCTCGCGAGTAACGAGCGAGTCCGTCTCTACTATAACGAGAAAAGATAATTAATGGCCCAACAATATATCAGTTAAAAGTAAAATTAGCCAAGCATGGTCGCACAGGCCCCTTATATCCCAGCTACTCCGGAAGGGTTCTGACGCAGAAGGATGCTCGAGCCCAGGAGTTGAGGAGCGTGATCTAGGGCGATCCCACGGCACCACTCTACAGTCTGGCACACAAAGTAACCTCAATAAAAAATATTATAGAAAAGCTACTATGAGTTGTTCAGTTTGGCTAGAAGCTATTTATGTTTAACTGGTATCCTAGATTTTTTTTTTTTTTTTTTTTTTTTTTTTGAGACAGAGCTCCTGTTTGCACAGGCACGATGAGGCCTTCCGGGGCATCAGCTCAGCTCACAGCAACCAAACTTCCTTGGGTCTCGGAGCGATCCCTCCGCTGCCTCAGCTCATCCCCGGGTAGTTCGGTGACTTATACAGGCATGTTGCCTACCATGCCCGGCAATTTTTACATGATATTATTTGTTTTTTTTTTTTAGTTGCGCCAATTAATTCTTTCTATTATGTAAGTTAGAGACTGGGTCTCACCATGAAATTTTAATTAAATGTCCTCTGCCTTGCTCAGGCTGGTTTTGAACTCCTGACCTTGAGCAATCCGCCCGCCTCGGCCTCCCAAGAGCTAGGATTACAGGCGTGAGCCACAGCGCCCGGCCTATCCTAGAAATTTTAACATGTATGCCTAACTTAGACTCAAGTTAATGTCTCTATCTTCCTCATCAATAATATGAGGACTTTTGGTCAGTAACTCCAATCATCCCCTCTTGATTTATGTAGTTTGAAGACTTAAATGTATAAGGCAAGACTATAAAACTTTATAAGATAGTATATAAAAGTATCTTAATGACTTTGGATTAAGAAAAAATTTTTAAGTCATAAAATGATACATAAATCCAAGTACAACACATGTTTAGTACCTTGAGGGTATGTCTGGATCAGAGTTCAGCTGGGACTGTTGACTGGATTTGTTATATTTGCTTTTCCGTTATTGCAGACAGGAGTCTCAGGCCTCCTATAGTGAATGCTATAGTGAGCAAAGAAGCTACGTGACCTTTTATGATTTGCCCTCCAAAGTCATATAGAATTACTTTTGCTATGTTCTGTTAGCCAGAGCAACCTAAAGCCCTTCTAGATTCAACCGGAAGCAACAGATTCCATCCCTTTCCTTCTCCTTTTTCCTACAGAAGGAATTTATGACCACGTAATAAAAACAACCATTTGCATTGGCACAAAAATAAACAAACAGAGCCTTAGAACAGGCTAGAGAATTCAGAAATAAATCAAAGTATATAATAACATGCTGCTATATTATTATAGACTAATACAGTATACTCATTTACTATATATGTAATAATATGTAACATTTAAGTTTTAATTAAGCTTTAATTAAGGGTAAAAGTTTTGCTAACAAATGAGGATGGCGTTCTTGGCTAACCTGGAGGAGTATGAATCTAGACCTCTACTTCACAACATATACCAAAATAAATTCTAGTTTACTGTTTGGCGATTTGAGGGAGTGGTGTAAAGAAATTATTAATCTTGTCTTTATACCTTTTTGCATTGTCTCACTAATTACCATGACTAAATTACTTTGGTTGAAACAAGGAAAACTTAAAAGAAATAAAATATAAATCGTTCTAAAAGAACACACTGAGACACAAGAAGGTTCGGGTAGTAGATACTAGCTTACCCACAATTTTACTTTTTTTTTCAATCACAGGCAAAGCTGTTTTCTTAGCCCGAGATAAGCACCATTTGGCTGATCTAAGCCACCTTATTCGCCACGAAGCTCCTTACCTGTTCCAGAAGTATGTTAAAGAGTCTCATGGACGGGACGTACGTGTCATTGTTGTGGGAGGCCGTGTGGTTGGCACCATGTTACGTTGTTCAACAGATGGGAGGATGCAAAGCAACTGCTCACTAGGTAAAAACAATGCAGATGTCTTTCAGCATATAAAGTAGTAAATTACTTGTCCAGTGAGCATTCATATATGTAAGTTGAAAAACGTATTATCTTTTTCTTATGTAAATATGATTTATAGATATACCGTCAATATAATAAATATAGTTCTCAGTTTTCCTTATAATGGAATTGGAGTTCACGGAATCAAATAAATTTGCTTCACCCAGGCTCAATTTGTAACTAGATTCACATGTACAAGATTTCTGACTAGACTTAGAGAGTCCTTCTTTGTTGATATACTTATTTTGTATATAATTGGAATTTGTTAAGCTACGTCTTCACCCATTTTAGCCATTGGTCCAAACAAGATTGCCAATTTTGGTTTACTTAAACATGTATTTTATGAAGTACATCAGAACTTAGTCTTTGGGTTTTTTCTCTTCTCTGTTTATATCAGTGTTTTAGTAATCTTGTCAGCAATACCACTTATACACTTATTATTTTCAAATTTCTAGCTCCAGTTTAGGCTTCCTCCATGAACTCCAGGCTCTTACAAGTAACTGTCTACCTGAAATTGATTTTGTTGTTTAGTGTGATGATAGAGATCCTGTTTTCTTTTGTTGAAATGAATAACTGGTTCTACCGGCACTACTCATTGAATAGTCTGTTTATCATTGGTTTGTAATGTATTGAATTTCCATATATGCATTAGTCTGTGTTGGGGTCGTCTAGTCTTTTGTACCCATCTTTTCCTATCTGAATATCAGTCTTCATTCTTCTAGCATTATGCCTACATATCTGATAGAGCAAGAGCTGCTCTATCTTATTCCTTAAAATTGAATGCCCTCATTATCCTGTTCTTAGGGAGCCTTTTTTTAACTGATGTGTATTCTCCTATATTTGTTATTAACAAAAATAGCAATTAACATCTCTTTCATGCTTGTACTGTATTAAATGCTTTCTGTGTATTCTTTCATCCACACAGTCTTTCTGTAGAGCAGATACTGTTATTACCCTTAATTTAACATATGAGGAAACCAAGACACAGAACAGTCAACTAACTTGCTTAAGGTAGTAGATACTATATGGTATAACCAGAATGCAAATCTAGACTATTTAGCTCCAGTATTGACCTGTTATCTACCCCATGTTGCTACTTCTTGCATACACCAAAATTGGAAAGATTTACATGGAAATCTTTACATCGGAATGCCAAAGTTGCCTCCAAAATTAGAAAGATTTAGATGGAAGCTGTGCAGGCACCATCTAGTTTTTCAAATGAATGTCATGAATTTAACCTTTTTAAACTGTTAGACTCTGTGTCTCATTCTCTTCTGTTTATTAACAGTAATATGATTTTAGATATGTGAAATTATATAAACAGACGCCTGACAGACATTCAACTACATGTTAGACAACTGTGGTTATCCCCACCTTTTAAGCAATTTTTTTTTTTTTTTTTTTTTGCAAATATTTTTTTTTTTTTTTATTTTTCTATTTTTAGTAGAGATAGGGTCTGCCCTCCATATCCATGGGTTCTACATTTGTGGATTCAACCAACCATAGATCAGAAATACTTAGGGAAGAAAATGGGTAGTTACATTGGTACTGAACATGTACAGTCTTTTTTCTTTGCTATTATTCCCTAAACAATACAGTATAGCAACTATTCTTGTAGCATTCATATTGTATTAAATATTATAAGTAATTTAAAGATGGTTTCAAGTATATGGCTGGGTCTTTTTAGGGTATATACAAACACTATACATAAAAAAATACCATTTTATGTAAAGGACTTGAGCATCCATGGATTTTGGTATCTGTGGAGGATAATGGAACAAATATCTGTGGATACCAAAGGATGACTGTACTGCTTTATTTCTGTGATTTTTTTTTGTTGTTGTTAACTTTAAAAAGTAGCTTTATGCCACACAGTCCTAAAGTGTTATTTATAATGCAATTCTTTCATACTTTCCTCTTTTTTTCTTAACCTCTCCTTACATCCATGCCCTTATTGATTTATAATTTATTTTCAGCTTTTACTATTATGAGCAATAATCCTATAAATATTCTTGTGAATATACTTTTTTGCATACTGGTGCTTTTGTCCTGATGAGTCTCAGTGTAGGTATTACTGGATCAAAATATATGTATTTTTAGTTTTAATAGATGTAACCAGAATATTTTCCAAAAAGGACCATTGTGCATTTCAACTTGCAATGTCTCTCTGTGTTGCCAGGGCTTGAATACAGTGGTGTTATCATAGTTCACTGCCACCTCAAACATCTGGGCTCAAAACAGTCCTTCCACTTCAGCCTCCCAAGTAGCTGGGACTATAGGCACGCCACCACATCCTAATTTTTAAAAATTTTTGTAGAGATGAGGTGTCACTATGGACCAGGCTGGCCTAGAACTCCTGACCTCAAGCAGTCCTCCCACCTTGGCCTACCAAAATGCTGGGATTACAGGCTTGAACCATAGCTCTTAGCTAGCCCATAATATTTTTTAAAAACTCCTTTATAGGCCGGGCGCAGTGGCTCACCCTGTAATCCTAGCACTCTGGGAGGCCGAGGCGGGCGGATTGCTCAAGGTCAGGAGTTCAAAACCAGCCTGAGCGAGACCCCGTCTCTACCATAAAAATAGAAAGAAATTAATTGGCCAACTAATATATATATATAAAAATCAGCCGGGCATGGTGGCTCATGCCTGTAGTCCCAGCTACTCGGGAGGCTGAGGCAGGAGGATCGCTTGAGCCCAGGAGTTTGAGGTTGCTGTGCGCTAGGCTGATGCCACGGCACTCACTCTAGCCTAGGCAAGAAAGCGAGACTCTGTCTCAAAAAAATTTGAGTTTGATGCTGGTTTTATTTAATGTATTGGCAAACTTATAGTCTTTTCCTAGAAGTCACATTGGAATAAAGGATAGCTAAATAAAACTCAGCTGTGAACCCATCTGGTACTGGTTCCTTTTGTAGTAGCTCTTTTATCACTTTCCCAATCCCTTCTGTGATAATTGGCCTGTTAAAGTTTGCCACATCTTCTTGGGTCAGTTTTGGAAATTTATCATTTGCTTGGAAATCATCCATTTGTTGTAAGTATCACATTTTTTTTGCCAAAAAGGAGTCATGAGGTATTTTCATATGCTGCTTTTTATCTCCTTTCCAAGTCTGTCTTTATTATCATTCTTAGTATTAACAGATTAGCTTTGGGTTTTTTTTAATTTTCTAATTATTCATTTCACTTTTTGTTTTTATTAAATCTCATTCTAGCTTCTTTTGCAAAGAACATCTAATTTCTCTCTTTTTTTTCTTTTTGTAATTTAATTAATTTTTTGGAGGGCGGGGGGGAAACAGAGTCTCACTCTGTTGCCCAGGCTAGAGTGCCAAGGCGTCAGCCTAACTCAAAGCAACCTCGAACTCCTGGGCTCAAGCAATCCTTCTGCCTCAGCCTCTCAAGTAGCTGGGACTACAGGCATGCGCCACCATGCCCGGCTTATAGCACTATTTTGTATATAGCGGTGAACAAAATAGGCAAATCCCTACTTATGGGCTTCACATTTCAGTTTTGCTGAAATCATTTAATAGTTTTACACTAGATTAACACCTTTGTTTTCACTGCTAATTTAGAAGAGAAGGTTAGCCTTAGAGGCCAACTTTAAATAAGCTCCAAAAGTTTATCAGTTTGGTAACTTTCTCTCTTGTTTCTCTTTTGCCAGGTGGTGTGGGGATGATGTGCTCCTTGAGTGAACAAGGAAAGCAGCTAGCTATCCAGGTGTCTAATATCCTGGGGATGGATGTGTGTGGCATTGACCTATTGATGAAAGATGACGGCTCCTTCTGTGTCTGCGAGGCCAATGCAAATGTAGGTTTCATCGCCTTTGATAAGGCTTGTAATCTAGATGTAGCTGGTATCATAGCGGACTATGCCGCCTCCCTTCTGCCCTCTGGCCGGCTCACCCGGCGTATGTCCCTGCTCTCCGTGGTGTCCACAGCCAGTGAGACTAGTGAGCCAGAGCTGGGTCCCCCAGCCAGCACTGCTGTCGACAACATGAGCGCAAGTTCCAGCTCTGTCGACAGTGACCCTGAAAGCACCGAGCGAGAGCTGCTCACCAAGCTCCCAGGGGGCCTGTTCAACATGAACCAGCTGCTAGCCAATGAGATCAAACTCCTGGTGGAATGATTCCACCGGTAATTAACCAACAAACTCTGTAAAACTTTCTTACTTTAGTTTTCTTTTCTTTCTTCTTTTTTTTTTTTTTTTTTTTTAACCAACTTGCAATGCTGTTCATGGAGGATGCTCAGGAAGATGAATTAGTAGGATTAGTTGGAGAGAAGGAGAAGATAGATGAGATCTTTGCTAGTAAGATGTTGCTTTCATTTATAAAGCCTACAGATAGAGAGGCAGAAGAGGGTGGGATATAGAAAATGTCAGGCTCTCATAGTTCCCTTTTAAAGTACTAAAAAGTTTCTATGCTCTCAGGCCATGAGCAACATAAAAATGTTTCGTGGTCTCTCACTTTTGTTTTTGTACAAAAAAAAATTGTTATGATACAAATAGTCCAAGTAGCATAACTTCATATTGTATTGCAAGATTTGTAAGGGGTGAGGAAATCGTCTGCTTAAATCATACAAATACATATACAAATCTAAAAATTCTGACATTTCCCTATTAACTAGCAGCTTTAGTTTGTGGTTTATGAAATCTCAAGAGGCTCTTTTATTGGGAATCTGAATTTTGTGTTTTGTCATCCCTTTTCCTTTAATTTGGGTGGGGGTACAAAGAATATAATCCAATAAAAGCCTTTTAATGACAAAATTAGCATGCTTGCATGATGAAAGGCAAATGAACAGTATTGCAATGTCTGGTATACAAAATAACATTTACTCAATGTAGATAAAATTACACGAGTTTAAAATATGTGCATTGACTTGTATTTGTTAGTATTTAGTCTTTTTTGAAAGATATGCTCTGTTAATGTTGCTTTTTTTTTTTTTTTAAATACATGCTAGTCTAACATTCCCTGCTCTATGCCTGCATCTTTAACAATGGCCAAAGTGAAGAAAATGCTACCCTTTTTTGTTAACACGACACTGACTTGAAACATGTACATTTAAAGCCTTTTATTTTTTCCTTTTTTCTTTTGGTAGTTGGGCATTTAAAGAATAAGAACAAGGAAAAATATTTTTGGGGGTCAGATCAAGGGCCTAAAAGTTCTTCAGTATAAAGCTGGAGTGATTTCTAATGCCAGCATTATATATTTGCATTTTTCACATTTTATGAGGGAGTATATATATGTGTGCACGTGTGCATGTGTATGTGTTTTGCTTTTTGTTTACATCAACTAATCAAAAAGGATAGATTCTAGAAAATGGAACATGATGGGAAACACAGTTTTTGACTTTAAAAAGCAGATGTTGTTGTGTCATAACTAGACTCCACTGGGGTAGAGATACTCACCTAAAGACATAAGGTGAATAGATTCTTCTTAGGCCTTTTAGTGCATATGTATGTTGTTTGGTTTTTTCCTTTGTTTCTAGACTGTTCAGTGTATGGTTTATTCAAGGCTACATGCTTTTCTTTAATGCTTTGGCTATGCATTTTCTTTTTTTACACATAGGATTTGGGATGGGGTGGGCTGGATATTTTTGTCTGGGGACTTATTTAGCAGTATTGAGTCTCTGGTAGCCCTACTCTAAGCCTTCAATACTGTCCACTCTTTATATTCCTTTACTTCCTGAATTTATAATAGCCCCCAAACTGCATATAATATGAGCCTTTACAACATGGGTAAAACTATCCCAGTGATGGGTTTGGATTGTATGTTAAGAAATGGAGATGCTGCAGAGCTCAACATAATTTTTTAAACAGCAAGTTCCATCTCCCTACAAATCCTCTGAAGCTTTTACCCCAGCTCTTTCTTGCCTCTCCAGTGCTATTTTCCTTCACATGGACCTTAAAGATAATTACTTGGACACTACTAGAGAGACTTCGAGGCAATAATAAAAAATCAGTATTAACCAGCTCTAACAGAGGTTTGATCATGCTTACTTGTACAGTTTTTCCCCGTTTTAAAAAGGAATGTAATAAAATTTGTTTTTTTTTCCATAGAATTAAATAATATTAAAATTGAGTGAAAGGTTGATTGTTGACCAATAGAATAGTACCTCTCATCTGTGCAGTGTCTTATTTTACCTCAGAGGAAAAGATACGTAAGAGGAGTTTCTAATTTATCTTAGGATATTCTAATTGCATATAAAAGGATTTGACTTGCACAGGGGAACTGGGGGACTCACATTACATATATTAGTACCTCTGACTCATTAACAGAAAGAAATACTTGGTACTTCTTTCACTGAATGACTATACTTTGGAGGATGCATACTATTTGGATTAGAGAAATAAATGAGCAAGAAAGAACTGCTTAATTAAACCATCATTCATATGTTCATATAGAAACCATATGGTTGCCACATATATTATGATACATATACTTCGAATAGCTATATGTCACGTGTGTAAATTAATGCATTTAAAAACACAAATAGAACAACCTCTTTATTTGATGAAAAGCCCAAGCTGGTGTTGGTGGAGTAAGGGACCAGAAAAAATGTAGCTAGCTTTTCTTTTTTTAAACTTATATCAAACTAACCAACTATATTATAAGAAATTAGTTCACCTGTAGTTTTACTCATTATCTATCTTTTGTGCATTCACACTATATTAAAACATAGCTTTAGCAACCTATTTCTGGATTGTAGAATTACATGTTAGAATGAAAAGGGCAGGAATGGTCATCCTAGATTTAAAAACATGGGTATCTCCTTGACTTCCCAAAAAATCAAGATAAAGAATAAGAATAAATCATTCTGGAAGAACCCAAAGGAAATATCAGATATTTAAATGAAAGTTAGATTTATTTTCATAATTGTTTAATAACATTTGTATAATCTTCATTGCTATTACGAGAGGTAAAAATGTATTTATCAAATATGTATAATCATTATCGTGGCAAAATCTGAACTGTAAAATTTTTGTATATTGTTAAATTGTAATTCTAAATTGTACTTTAAAAATAATTATTTCTGATATTGTTTTCTTGTCACCCATGATGAAAACGGGACTTTATATATCTCTCTAAACATATATAAGTATGAACTATTTAAATTTTTAATAGTTTTTTTTTTCCTTTTTTGGTGCCTATAATTGATTGGTCATTTCTGCTGACTTTTCTCCAATGAACTTTGAAATCTTTCTGTATATGCTATCAATAAGAAAACTACCCTGGAACGTTAGAAAAACCCAACAAGAGACTTGCTCTCATCAAGCACGTTATCAGACTTTGAGAAGATATCGAAGGCATTGACTTTCAAAATCATCTCTTTTTATCAAGAAGAAAGCAGTGGAAAAACAAATTCTCTTCATTCAGTGAATCTCCAATTTGGGGGATAGGGGGGGCTTAGAGACATTGTGAAGTCGAATTTTGTGTTATATTTTTCTCCTGGCTCACTTTTTTTGAGAAGGTTTATGGGCTATTTGGCTGGTGAGACACGATCCCCTCCTAAGAAAATGTAGGTGCTCAGACAGGTAACCTCTGCTGCTACTGTTTTTATTTGTTTGTTTGTTTAATTTCATTTAAGATTTGTTTTTGTTGTACTAGGATTTTTAAAAATGTAATATATTGCAGGATTTATAACCAGGTTCACTGCTTTCTTTCTTTCTTTCCCTCCCCCTTAAAACAAAACAAAACAAAGTTTCATTTAAAATAGATTTAGGCGCCTTTGAAGCTTGGATTTTGGAATGTTTCAGTAGTGGACAGAAATCTGCTGTTGGAATCTTCTAGTCTTCCAGGTTTAATTTGAAATGTTTTTAGTTTTGTTTTGGATTTTTGTGTGGTATTTTATTTACTTTATACCAATGCCCTTTTGCCATGCTGTTTTGGGGTGGCTGCCTAACTCTAGCAAAAATTCTTTCTATATTAACGAAAGTTTGGCCTTTTAAATTCCTTAATGTTTTGCATTTTTACTTTGTTTTTGAAGAAATATTCTAACTGCTTGCACTGTTACTGTTCTTTACCAGCCTTTTCAGGAGCCAAAAAAACAAATACAAACAAACAAAAAAATACCCAGAGAAAAAACTTTCCTTCTTCCCCCTTCCTGATGATGAGTGAGAAGTATTGAGAACTTTCCGGGGTCAGTGCCCTTCTAAACTCCCCTTCCCCCAATAATGCAGCTGTATAATGAACGGTAAATGCAGCGGTTTGGATTCAGGCACAGCCCCAGCCTGCTCGCAGGTAATTTGACTCTTTCTCCTTTCTTTCCATCACTAGGCTAACTTTCTTTTTTAAAAATTTCCTTTCCTTATGTACTGCAAACATAACAATGGGTTTGTCATAACTTTCATTTAAAAAAATAATGCATAAATATATCTAGCATGTAATTTGATTAAAGAAGAGCTTTTGGGGGTAAAGTTTGAATTAGTTGGGATGAACTCAGGATTTTCTTGGGGTTTTGTTTAGCCATTTAGATAACTCCATTTCTTGCATATATGTCTATAATTAAGTATTCAGAGTGTGACTTTTGGCTTTGTTTTTGTTTTGGGTTTGTTTGTTTCTTCCATTGTGCTACTCTGGCTTAAGCTTTTTCAGGGGTTGGTGTTCCGAATACACAGTGAGCTCACAGTATAAAGACATCAATTAGGAGTTGACAGGTATGGAAAACTAGAGTGTTGAAAAGGTAAAATTAGGTCCTAGGTTATACATATGGTAAAAACTCATCCTTAGCATTCAGTTGACATTAGTGTTTCTCTTTCTGTGACATCATTGTAAGAGTGAAAGGGAATAATAAGACATAGATAACAAAGAATTTTAGTTATTTTAGGAGCAATGTGATTTCAGAACTAATCATTTTAGCATTTCTGAGTTACTAATTCTAACATGAGCAGTTTGAGATTATCATAAAATTATGGTTTGAACAAGGAAAAAGTACAGATTTGAACAGATAGGAGGGCATTTCTGAAGCATAAGATAGCTAACCAGATTAACCAAGGTTATAAAACAAAGTTAATGGGAGGAATAGGAATACAACTTGTCCCATTTTAATAGCCTTCCTGTAGTTAATAAACTGTCTCTTCCTCTGTCTACCCCAGTCCACCTACTCTTTCCTCCTTTCTCCTATCCTTAAAGTTTTAGCTCGTATATGAGTTTTTATTATTTTGGGAGCTGGTCCTCTTTCAAATGGGTAGAATTTTAGTGCAAGTAGCCAGGATCTTTTCTAAGATACAGTTCTTACTAATTTTCTCCTGTGGCTTTAGATACTCTATCCGAAGAAGCTGTTAGTCCGGTAAATCACTAGTTAGTGAATAGGAAGTCCTGGCTTGTAATGCTATTTCTGCAGCCGAAGGAGGACATGTAATAACTCTTTAACCTATTCTCTGTTTCAGTTGATTTATATAAGGTAGGGACAGTCACTCCCATAAGCATCTTAAGAGAAAAATATTTGTCTGTTGAATTGGAATTCACTAACAAAGGAATCCCAACAGCACTTCTGCAAGAATTTATGGTGTAAACTACAAAAGCCTTTCTGGAGAGCCTTGTTTTCTTGCTGATAAGAATGGCCAACATTAGAATGTATGGACTATGAAGGCATGGAGAGTTTAACAACCTCCAACCTGTTGTCCCCATTAAATACCTCTGACTTGTTAAGAATGATTTTGGTAATTTTAGATTTTACCATATTCAAACTTACTAGGTGAGCCTTATATAGCATATATACCTGGCTGCTATTGTGGGATTGGGAACGTGAGGGGTGGGGTGAAATGTTGTTGTTTTAGGTTTCAGTCAGACAGACATCCCTGTGCCCCAGTTCCCAGAAGCACAGCAGGCCTCTAGAAGCATCCGTGGGAACGGCGCAGTCCTGACATCACCAACTCTCCTGCTCAGGCTCATCCCATATACAGAGGTCAAAGGGTGGGGTTTGAGATTGGGGGAAGGAATGAGAAAGTAGAAACAATGTCACTGCAGTGCCACTGTTGACTAGCCTTTGGTGCTTATGCCAGTGTTTGTTTTATTTCCTGATTTTTTCAAAGTTGGCAAAACTGTACATGTTTTTTTATCTTGGGGTGAAGGTAGTGGGAGGGTGGAACAAAAATAAGCCATTATTGTTATTCCTAGTTCATTAGTGGATACTGTCCCTTAATAGCTAATATAGAATAAATTTGAAACATAGACCCCAGTGACAGAATGGGAATAGAAATGGATTTCAGTATTTTAACAAATAAAACATTTATGCTGTGTTAATTCCCATTTCTACAAGTGCTATTACATTTGTCACCCTATCTCCCTTTTTCCCCCTAATTCTTTGTATGTATACCGTTTGAGGAAATGTGCGTTCATGGACAGTCCTTTTTAAAGGGCTTAATGGATTTATTACTCTTTTGCAAAAATATACCCAGTGCTTATATGGGCATACAAATGCTACCCTATTTTAAATGTAGGTGGCGTATGTGTTCGTGTTTTAATGTATACAGAGACATTGGGCAATAAGCAGTCCAGAACATTGAAAACTCAAGCAGGTAAAGCACCTAACACCCTTAGTTTCTAGAATTACTTTTAAAAAAACCTCTTTTATATCGCCACATCTTCCACAGTTCCTTGGGTAGTCTCTGAACTTAAAATTTGTAGGAGTTGTAGACTACCTAGTTAAAAATTTTAAGTTATGTTATTTATTCGTAGATTGTAGGGGTAGGTGAAGCAGGAAACTCTAACAAAAGAAAATGGCTCCTTGCTCCTTGAGATGGCAACTGCTGAGTGTCTAAATCTTTCCACTTTCTTTCTTTTTTCTTTTTCTTTTATAATTTTCCCAGCTTAGCATGAATCATACATTGTTTGATTTTCTGTGATTGGGATTTTTGTTTCTGATTTTTGGAGGGAAGGTCTGGGGGAAACATGAGAAAGTTGCACATGTGAAAATATGAAATATTAAAGGAATCATTCCTCTTTAATCTGAATACTAAGCAAGAACTTTTTCTATATGCCCTTCTGCTGCAGCAGAGAATTAAACTGGTAGGTGGCAGTAGAGGAAGGAATTCTTCAGATTGATGGCTACTGACTTAAAATCTGCATAGGAGAAGAGAGCATGACATACCAAATGAAACAAGGGGAGCAAAAAATGGAAGCACTACTAACATTCCTGGATTTTAACTCTGAATGGTAAGTTATTTTCAACTGAGAGTGTTGTTTTTAATTTGATACCAATGCTACATAAGTTATGCGATTATGGATTGTGATATGTAATCATAAAAGCCTATAGGTCCTCACTTTAGGTTAAATTTGACCTAACTTGTATATATATGGTCATTCTTTACTTAAAAAATAGCTAACAGTATGTAAAATTAGGGTTTTCTTTCCAGTACATTGGTATATATGACCTTTAACAATGGCAGAAATTAAACTGACAATAAATCTGATTTTTTAAAAATCTGCAAGAGAAATATTAACCATTGTTAACCATTTTATAAAAATAAAAGGTTGTCTCCTTTTTAATGGAAGCCCTAGAAGGATAACAACAAAAGAATGTAATTTAAACAAAATAATGGGGGGGGGAAGATCTTTGTTCCAACTGGCTCTCTCTTTTTGATCTAGTCCTATTTCCTAGTCACTGTGCATGCCCATCAGTACCACTCTGCCCATTCACCTTTCTCTTGCTTATGTTTCTGCTTTTTTCCCTTCTCCTTTCTTTCCCTGTCTTTATACCTCTCTTTTACCTGTCTTTCATATGCTTCTTTCTTTTTTTTTTTTTTTTGAGACAGTGTCTCGCTTTGTTGCCCAGACTAGAGTGAGTGCGTCAGCCTCACTCACAGCAACCTCAAACTCCTGGGCTCAAGCAATCCTCCTGCCTCAGCCTACCAAGTAGCTGGGACTACAGGCATGTGCCACCACACCCGGCTAATTTTTTCTATATATATTAGAGATGGGGTCTCACTCTTGCTCAGGTTGGTTTTGAACTCCTGAGCTCAAAGGATCCGCCCGCCTCAGCTTCCCAGAGAGCTAGGATTACAGGCGTGAGCCACCGCGCCCGGCCATATGCTTCTTTCTTTCACTCAGTCCTTCTGAATTTTACTTACCCAATGTTGCTAATTTTCATCACCACCTGCCTGTTTTTCTTAAGAGTATGGGTGTGTCTACCTGTCTTTCTCTTCCTTTCACTGCCCACCCCCCAACCCCCACTCCCACCTTTCATTTGCATTTTCTATGTCTGCATTCTGCCTGGGATCTACATTGCCTTTATTATGTATTTATTTTTGAGACAAAGTCTCACTCTGTTGCCTGGTCTAGAGTGCCATGGCGTCAGCCTAGCTCAGAGCAACCTGACACTCCTGGGCTCAAGTGATCCTTCTGCCTCAGCCTCCCGAGTAGCTGGGACTACAGGCATGCGCCACCATGCCCACCTAATTTTTTCTATATATTTTTAGTTGGCCAATTAATTTCTTTCTATTTATAGTAGAGATGGGGTCTCGCTCTTGCTCAGGCTGATTTTGAACTCCTGACCTTTAGCAATCCTCCTGTCTCGGCCTCTCAAAGTGCTAGGATTACAGGCACGAGCCACTGAGCCCGGCCTACATTGCCTTTAGATGTGTGTGAATCAGGCTACCAACATTGTGATTCTTTATGTATTAGAATTTGACTAGGCTGTATAGAAGAAATTAAATGATATTGCAAAGTCCCTTATAAATAAAGAATGTAAATTTCAAATTCTTAAATTTATAATAAGATACAGACCTGTTTAGTCAGTCAACTACTTATTTATTTTAACTATAGCATCTTTGTTTCTCTTCCAAGCTGTTTATGATCACTTGGACAGAAATGAAAGGAATATGGTTCTCAATCTTATTTAGGTTCTGCTTTTTAAGTCTCTAATGAAATCAGAAAATGAACAAAGCAGTCAGTATTTTAGAGACATACATATAGAGAATATCAAGTTTTAGTCTTTTAGATGGTTAAAACTCTGATATTTTTTGGGGGGAGTATATATGCCACCATTTTCAAAGCATTTTTATTCTCTTAAAGTAACACGCAAATAATTGTTTTCAAGCTTTATAGGTGATAGAAACAGGATATCCAGAGAAGATACTACTAAAGAAAGAGTCCTGGCTCCTGTTAATATCTGTAATAGCTTGAGCTACCAGCCTCCAAGTACTGTAGAGTCTAGTCATCCAGTATAATCTTGAATTTGTAGATAAGGAAGCTATAATGAAGAGAAGCTGATAACTTGCCCAAGAGTACAGAGCTACGACAGTGTCCAAGTCTTCTAATTGTCAGTTCAGTGTTCTGTGCATTGTATTCCATGCATCCTTCAAAATCATATTACTAAACACATGCTGTGCAGTGAGAGCTGTGGTATCACAAAGAAAGTTGTTGGTATTTGTGCTTGTGGTTATCTAATATAGAATGAGCATTTATTCAAATAAAGGTTATTAAAGCAAGCTGTAGGTGGTCATTTTTAGATGATTTGTATGCAAAATTATTTACATATTTTTCATGCACATTTATTTATTGTGTCTGAAATTGGGTTGATTTTTGCAATTTAAATTAATCCCTGGGAAAATATACTTAACTAGATATCTGTCTAAAATAAGTCATAGACTGGGTATAGTGCCATGTGCCTATGGTCCCAGCTACTTGGGAGGCTGAGGTAGGAGAATCATTTGAGCCCGTGAGTTGGAGGTTGCAGTGAGCTAGGATCATGCCATTGTAGTCCAACCTGGGTAAAACAAAAAGACCCTTGTCTCTTTAAAAAAAGAAAGGAAAGGAAAAAGTCACAAAACTTAGGAATAAAAAAAGATAATCAGGAATATTGTGGACAAAAAAAGAACAAAAATTAGAGGCTATAGTGGTATCAGCATCGTAATGTGGTAGACAATACATGGACCTATAAATGAAACTGATATGACTCTTCTCTCATTAGAGAGAACAAATTCCAAGGGGTTAGAATAGTTTCTCTTGAAAAAGCGTCAGATAAATTTGGGAAGATTGCGCTTGTAAAACAGTAATAGGTTTAGCTTTAAATTTTTAGTGGTGAGAACATTAAGTATCATCCAAGTCAGATTAGAGTATATCTTTGTTAGGTAAGATCACCATGACAAAGAATGATAATAACCAAAAACTGGTGTGGTTTTTGGTAGTCTACCCAATTGTAATATTTTATTGTCCTATTAGTTGATTTTCTGTCTTTATTTTCTTTTATTTTTCTCCTCCTGGTTGTAGAGAGCTATTAAATCTGTGATTTGAGTGAGTTCTGTGTTTCTTCCCACAGGTTCTTTTGAAGTAACCAGTGATCTTCTTTGCTTACCTCATTAACCGAATGGATGAAGACAGAATTGACACTGCTTTTTTGAGTGGAGAATAAAAATGCACAAAACAAAGAAGCAGTAGCTCTGACCTGTTTGATTCAATGTGTTTTCTAAAATAAAAACACCACAAACTGGAAATAGCATGGAGTGTGACTTGTTCTTTTAGCTGTTTCTACACACTTCATTCTATATGCATTTACTTTGATCTAGATATCTATAGACTTGATGTCTAGCTCCAATATGTGTCATTCTCATTTCTACTCTTAGATGAAACTCTTAAGAGTCCTTTGGTTCCTATCAGACTAATTTCTATAATATATTCTGAAATATTAATTACTTCTTTTGGCATGTAGGCAGGTACTAAAATATATATTAGATGGATTTTTCTCTCTTTCATCATACTTTGTCCATGTTGAATAATTGTTGCTGTATTTTTTAATCTCTGAAGAAATACAAACTTTTAAAAAATTTCACCTTGACAGGGTTCTGGCACAGACTTGTCATAGCCTTGTCCACTATGTTTTAATCTACTTGTGACTGGAGACGATGTCTGATCTAGTATATTTAAGTCATAGGGGGTCTGAAACATAATGCATTCATGTGTTGCTTAATGACAGGGATATGTTCTGAGAAAGTGTCCTTTGGCAGTTTCATCATGGGAATATCATAGAATGTACTTACACAAACCTAGATGGTATAACCTACTACACACCTAGGCTATATGGGATAGCCTATTGCTGCTAGGTTACAAACCTGTACAGCATGTTACTGTACTAAATACTGTAGGCAGTGGTAACACAACAGTAAGTATTTGTATATCTAAGCATAGGAAAGGTACAGTAAAAACAATATAAAAAATTAAAACAGTGGTACACTAGTATAGGGAACTTACCATGAATGGAGCTTGCAGAACTGGAATTTGCTCTGGGTGGGTCAGTGGTGAGTGAATGTGAAGGCCTAGGGCATTACTGTACACTTAAGGTACACTAAATTTGCAAAAACAATTTTCTTCAATATTTAACCCTAGCTTACCTTTTTGCTTTATAAATGTTTTCATTTCTTAAATTTTTTGAGTCTCTGTAATAACTTTTAGCTTAACACACATTGTATAGCTGTGCAAAAGTATTTTCTTTATATACTTATTCTGTAAGCTTTTCTACTTTTAAAATTTTTCTAGATCACCAACATCACTGTCTCCCATCGCCACATTTTGTCTCACTGGAAGGTGTTCTGGGACAATAATGGGCATGGAGCTGTCATTTATTAGGATAACAATGCTTTCTGGACTACCTCCTGAAGGACCTGCCTGAGGCTGTTTTACAGTGAACCTTTTTATAATTAGAGTACATTCTAAACAACATATGGTATAGTATAATTGATACATAAGCCAGTAAATAGTTTATCAAGTGTTATGTACTATACAGAATTGCATGTGCTGTACTTTTATATGACTAGCAAACTTGGTTTCTTTACACCAGCGTCACCACAGACACAGGAAATGTGTTGCACTGCAACATTATGGCTATGATGCTGCTAAGTGACAGGAATTTTTCATCTTCATTATAATCTTATGGGACAACTATCAATTATATGTAAGTCTACTGTTGACCAAAATGTCTCTCTATACAACTGACTGTATAGTCAGCCCTAGTACTTTTTTTTTTTTTTTTTTTTGAGACAGAGTCTCAATTTGTTGTCCAGGCTAGAGTGCCGTGGTGTCAGCCTAGCTCACAGCAACCTCAAACTCCTGGGCTCAAGCGATTCTCCTGCCTCAGCCTCCTGAGTAGCTGGGACTACAGGCATGTGCCACCATGCCCGGCTAATTTTTTCTATATATATTAGTTGGCCAATTCATTTTTTTCTATTTATAGTAGAGACGGGGTCTCACTCTTGCTCAGGCTGGTTTTGAACTCCTGACCTTGAGCAATCTCAGCCTCCCAGAGAGCTAGGATTACAGGCATGAGCCACCATGCCCAGCCAACCCTAGTACTTTTGACAAAAAAAAAAAAAAAATGGGCTTTGTAGTCAGATATTAATACAGATACTAATTCCATTACTTAATGGTTACGTGGCCTTTGGACAAGTCACCCTCTTCAAGCCATAGAGGAGTATTTCTAAAAAAATATGCCTACTTTACAAAGCAGGCTCTGGAGGAATAGTTGGATTGAATGTATCCTAGGCAATGACCTGTGATTTAATACTTCTCTAAATAGAGGCTTTGGTAACAGCAGAGTTCATTTGCTGTGGTAGGAAAATGGTTATGTTGAAATTCTGTCCAGTGAACCAAGAATGATGCTTTGGTGGTCAAGAAGGGTAGAAGCTAGAGTTGTTATTCTCAAGTTTGCTTAACTAGAATTCTGAACAGAATGTCACCTTTCACATTGAGGTAGGACTTGTACGACCAAAAAGTACTAAGGCACTGAATCCTTCAAAGTTCTTAAAACTTAAAAGCTCACTGAATGATGACTCCATTACTACAAACAGCCTTTGCTAAATTTCTTGTAGTTCCCCTATAGTCAGCTACCAATAGCACAGGAAGAATCCCTGAAGGTGCAAGGCTTTATGAAACAGCTTTCTGTGAGCCACAACAGTACTCAGCTATTGATGTTTCATGACGTTTAAAACTTAACGTGGTACAGATTAAGGCAATGAAATCTGTATTCTTGAAAGCTGAGTAGAGTTGAGATAGGTGGATGGTTTTGAAAATCTTTACCATTTGATCATTGTCATTTTTACAAGTTTATGTTAAAGCATGTGTGGATTCCAAAAGGCAAACACGGGACAGTCACATGTGCTAGAGATGTGTTGAGGGAAATGCCTGCGAGGGGAGGGATACAAGGAAGAGGGAGCAGTAGGCAGGGAAGGCCTTCAGAGAGCAGTGTACGTCAGACACCTGTGACAATAGTCTCAGACCTCAGCCACTCAGACTCTGTGCCAGCCTAATGAGGACTCTCAGAGCAGATACCCATTAGAGTAGTCCTGGATTAGGCAGAAATGCCCTGACTAGTACACAAGTAGCAACCTGGGAAGAAAGGGCACTTGCCATGTGAAAGAGGCGACAGCTCAGGAGTGGCAGCCTGAGATTGTCAGCCAGATGTTACTTGCAACTAGTTTTCTTAAAGAGACCTGACTAGCACACCTCCATGACAACCTCAATCCATGCTTTAACACTGTACAAATCCACTAAACACACATGGGGGAACTCCACGGTTCCATGAGCCTCTGACACAGACTCTTATGTAGCATCTTTACTGCCACTGACACCTTCGATACTATGATGTTTGGTAGATTGTATGACCCAATTTGCAGAGCTGCTTGGCATCACAAACCAGAAAGAAAGTGGCCTCAGTGTGAAAACTGAGTTAGATCTAAAAGTGGCTGCTGGAGGCCAGCCAGGCAACTACATTTCTCACAGTGGCTTTCTTTTTTTCTTTTTTCGACATGATTTTTAAAAATAATTATATGTATTAACTTTTTTATTGTGGCAAGAACACTAAACAGATTTTTAAGTGTATTATATAGCATTATATAGCCACAATACTGTATCCGTAGAACTTACTCATCTTGCATACCTAAATTTTATATCTGTTGATTAGCAACTCCCCATTTCCCACTACCCCAAGCCTGTGGCAACCACCATTTTACTCTCTGCTTCTATGTGTTTGGCTGTTTTAAATACTTATGTAAGTGGAATCATGCAGTATTTCCCCTGTGATTGGCATATTTCACTTAGCATAATGTCCTCAAGGTTCATCATGTTGTTGCATATTGCAGGATTTTCTTTGTAAAGCTGAATAATATCCATTATATGTATGTACCACTTTTTAAAATCCATTCATCTGTCAATAGGGTTTAGTTTGTTTCTACATCTTGACTAAGAATAGTACTGTAGTGAACATGGAAGTGCATATTTCTTTGAAATCCTAATTTCAGTTCTTTTGGGTAAATACCGGGATTTCTGGATCATATGGTAGTTCTGTTTTAAATTTTTCAAGAAGCATCCATACTGTTTTCCATAGCAGCTGCACCATTTTACAGGGTGTTTTCTTAGGGGAGGTCTGAGTGGCACACTTCTATGGCTGTCACAGTGCTCACGGTAGACAAATAGTTTTCAAGAAGAGAATAAACTGGAAAGTAAAATCCACTGACACCCCTCCCCTCCTGCTGACATTACTCCCTAGGATGAATCATCATTAAATGTCCTTCAAACATTTGTGTATTCATTTATAACCATTTGTTAACTCAGTGGGATCATGATATAAGCAATATTTCATAACTTCACAATATATCTTGAGTATCTTACCATATAAGCAGGTATACTGCTACCTCAACTTTGTAAATAGCAACATAAAATTCCATTATTTATACCATAATTTATTTCCTTGGCTTAGTGACATAAAATATCCCAGTATTATTCTAATACATTTTTCCTCTTTTTTTTTTCACACTGTAATATCTTTAAGTACAAATAACTTTTTAACATGTTATTATGTTACATGGAGACCATTTCACCCACTGCTCTGTTTGGCTGCCAGTCTCTTATCCCTCTCTTCAGCAATGGTGAGGCGGATACCTTTTCCTCGAGGAAGAGAAATCCATGGTTTGTTGCCTTTGCCAATAACGAAAATGTTGGAGAGGCGAGTGGCAAAGCTGTTGCCATTGGCATCTTTCATGTGAACCACATCAAAAGACCCGGGATGTCTTTCTCTGTTGTGATCACACCAATTCTTCCCAAGTTAGCGCCTCCAGTCACCATACACAGGTTACCAGTGTCAAACTTGATGAAATCAGTAATCTTGCCAGTCTCCAAATAAATCTGAATGGTGTCATTCACTTCGATGAGTGGATCAGGATAGCGGATGGTACGAGCGTCATGAGTCACCAGATGAGGGATTCCTTTTGTGCCCACAAAGATTTTTCTCACTTTGCACAACTTGTACTTGGCCTCCTCAGGTGTGACGATGAACAGCAAAGCGACCCTTGGTGTCATAAATCAGACGGAAATTCTCTCCAGTCTTGTCAATGCTGATGACATCCATAAATCCAGCAGGGTAGGTTATATCAGTTCGGACCTTGCCATCGATTTTAATGAAGCGCTGCATGCAGATCTTCTTCACTTCATCTCCTGTCAGGGCATACTTTAAGCCTGTTTCTTAGGAAAATGATGAGTGGGAGACACTCTCTCAGCTTGTGGGGACCGGTGGATGGACGAGGAGCAAACACACCGGTCAGCTTATCCAGCATCCAATGCTTTGGAGCTGCTACACGCTTCAGATGCTTCTTGGGACCTTGGGCCATGGCTGCGCTAAGCACGGAAAGAGCCATTTTTCCTCTTTGCTTTAATTTTTTTGTTGTTGTTGTTACATGCAGCTGGGGAATTCTAATACAGAGACTGGGAGCCAGGTGTGGTGGTGCATGTTTGTAGTCCCAGCCACTTGAGAGGCTGGGGTGGGAGGATCACTTGAGTCCAGGAGTTTAAGGCCAAGCCTGGGCAACATAGAGGAGCACAAGAAACACAAGAAAAAACCAAACTGAGAATAAGAAGATAAACTTTATTTGACCAGTTAAAAATTATTTGAACACATTGAACATTGCTGGAGATGTAATCCTGTGTGTGTGTGTGTGTGTGTGTGTGTGTGTGTGTGTGTGTGTGGAGGGGAAATCTGTATAACAACTGTAAAAAATAAATAGTGCCTGGAAAGCTATGGAGAGGTTCAGGAACAATACCCTGGGTATATACAAAGTGAACCCCAAAATTTGGTCATGTGGTTAATTGTAAAAAAATGAGGGAAAAGCACGAGTTGATAAAAAATAATGCCTTGTTCCCAAAAACCAGAAGAAATAATGGATTGACCTGAGTGGCACTAGATCTAATGGAGGACAGTTAGACCATCATAGAGATGTGGTAGAATTAAAGAATTGTCAAGTCTAATTAACATCCTGGGACTATATATAAAGAGTCAACAAGAATAATAAAGTCATTTGTACCAGTTCAATAAAATTAATTGAACATTTGAACACACACTTGAGGAATGTAATCAAAATCAATTTTTTTTGTATAATTAGGATGTGAGACCATAATGAAAGCCTAAAGAAAAGAAAGTCTGCCGACCAATTCTGTATTTCCCAAACAATTTTTATAGTCTCAATTTCACTATATTCCCCACTGCATCCCTAAATCTACAGGTAAAGCCATTTGAGGGAAAACACATGTCAAAATTGGCCCAGTCAGGCCGGGCGCGGTGTCTCACGCCTGCAATCCTAGCACTCTGGGAGGCTGAGGAGGGCGGATTGCTCAAGGTCAGGAGTTCGAAACCAGCCTGAGCAAGAGCGAGACACTGTCTCTACTATAAATACAAAGAAATTAATTGGCCAACTAACATATATAGAAAAAATTAGCTGGGCATGGTGGCACATGCCTGTAGTCCCAGCTACTAGGGAGGCTGAGGCAGGAGAATCGCTTGAGCCCAGGAGTTTGAGGTTGCTGTGAGCTAGGCTGACCCCATGGCACTCTAGTCTGGGCAACAGAGTGAGACTCTGTCTCAAAAAAAAAAATTGGCCCAGTCAAAAACAGTATGTATTTGTTGGGCACAGGTCATAAACATTTTATAAATTCAGTTTATGTGTAAGCAGTGGAATTAACCTGTTTCTAGACCACTTTATATGTAAGCCATCTCTGCCAAAGAGGCTGAAGTATAAACTGCTCCTGGTCTGGGTTGAACAGACTTAATTCTTGATGAATAGGTTATCGCTAGAGATCTATGCAGACTTTCCAGTTCAGGGAGTTTGCAGTGAAGTCAACCAATAAGTAAGACCAATCACGTCTTTTATTTGCACAGTCGTCTTTAATAACCCTATCTAGCCTAATCGTTTGACATTTGCTATCAAGAAAAGTCTGGTTAGAATTTCTAGTCTAAATTTCAGCTTTGCTATATGCTAGTCCTGCATTTATAGGCAAGTTAACCTCTCTATACACCAATTTTTATATCTGCAAAAGGTAAACAATGATAGGTTTTTTTTTTTTTTTTTTTTTGAGACAGAGTCTCACTCTGTTGCCCAGACTAGAGTGCCATGGCATCAGCCTAGCTCACAGCAACCTCAAACTCCTGGGCTCAAGCAATCCTTCTGTCTCAGTCTCCCAAGTAGCTGGGACTACAGGCATGCGCCACCATGCCCGACTAATTTTTTCTATATATATTAGTTGGCCAATTAATTTCTTTGTATTTATAGTAGAGACGGGGTCTCGCTCTTGCTCACGCTGGTTTCGAACTCCTGACCTCGAGCAATCCGCCCGCCTCAGCCTCCCAGAGTGCTAGGATTACAGGTGTGAGCCACCTCGCCCAGCCTAGGTTTTTCTTTAAGAGAGTTAAATACTCCTAGTAGAATTTGGAACATAATTGATGTTAAATAAATGGCTCTCCTAGAATTTCTGTCTCTCCTTTGTACTGAAGGACCATAAAAGAACTTTAAGTGACAGTCTCTGTCATCCATTATCCTATAATTCTGTTGAGATATGGAGGGAAGGAAAAATACTTTTAAAAATACCTGTGAACAATTAAAAAACAAAAACAAATTTGCAAGATAGCATAAAATTAGGTGCAAATCTGAGTGGTAAAGAAAGTATTAGAGGAATTCAGGGGAAAAAGTTGGTATATCTTTAGGAGAATATAGCAAAGCCCTAAAAAGGCATAGGACTTGGATTAGGCCTACAAAAATAATATATTACTATGTCAGTATCATGTTTCACTGTTTTAAATTCTTTCACATATATTTTTAGGCTCTTCACAAGAACCCTACATTATATGAAATTGGTATTTTCAGGAGAGCACAAGTTACGTGTCTTGCTAAAAGTGCAGAGCTGCATAGCACAGCGTATATCCACGTATCCTGATTTCTAAAGAAGAAAAAACATTTTGCTGAAAAAGCCACTTGATCAAAGAAACATACGCTTTTAGGAACGTGGTAAAGTCTTCCATTTATGTAGAACAAGAGAAGAGCAGAAAATAAGGCTGAATCAGCCTCCTACAAGTCAGGAACTACTTATTCTCATGGGACAATAGATAATTTACAAAGTAAATAATTTCCCCACCCTTTTCTTAGCTTGAAAAGATTTTTGTTCCTTGTAACTAAATGTACATATTAAAACAGAGAGAAAAGGCAAGAGTAATGACATAGGTAGGTATATGGAGGGTAAAAAAAGAAGAGTAAAAGTTTTTCAGGTTTCTAACTATGGAAACTACCAAAGATGGTGTGATATACAGGTATATTGGTTTCCTAGGGCTGCTATAGTCACATACCATAAACTGGGTGGCTTAGAAGAACAGAAATTTATTCTCTCAAAGTTCTGGAGGCCAGAAATCCATAAAGGAGTTGGCAGGGCCATGTTCCCTCAAGCCCCCAGGAAACAATCTTGGCCTTGGTTGCTGGCAATCCTTAGCATTCATTGGTGTGAAGCTGCATCACTCCAACCTCTGCCTCTGCCATTAGTTGGTGGTCATCTCTGTGTGCCTGTGCCTTCACCTGGCCTTCTTATAAGGACACCAGTCATTAGATTTAGGCCCCACCCTGATCCAGTATGACCTCATCTTCACCGATTATACCTGTAGGGACCCTATTTTCAAATATGGCTGCATTCTGAGGTTCTGGGTGGACATGACTTTGAGGGGAACACTGTTCAACCCAGCATGGCAGTAAAGTCTGTTAATATAAATTTTAGTATAAAACCAGGTGAAAGAGAAGGTATAGAGAGACTTTAGAAGTTTTTTAAAATTAAAAATAGGGGTTTTTTTCCTTATCACAAAAAGCAATGCAGATTAATTATGGAAAAAATAAAAGCATGATTAAGCAAAATTAAGGTAAAAAAAATTAGAGGTTGAGATTTGCCTGTTGTAAGTTCCAAAGTAATTGTTACCATATATGCTTCTTGTTCACAGAAGGAAAGAACAGAGAAGGAAGAACTTGGTGTATTCCGTAGTTAAAGGAATGTGGAGCTGAAGAAAAGAAAGAAGTGAAGCGCAGTTTGCAGACACAATGGCAAGAGAATTGGACTCTCATTGACATTTTGGGTCATGCCAGTAATTAGTTCATTGCCAAGCTGTCTTTCCATCTTTTAAATAAACTGCTACTCACGTTCCTCACTGCATCATCTGTACTTATTAACTCTTTTGACTATCAATACATATTCTCCATGATTGGATTCACATGCCAGGATCTACCTGCAGTTGTATTTTGTTTTTCATAAATAATTTTTTGTCAGTAGAAATGGGAAGCTAGATTAGAAATTTACAGTTATGGCTGGGCGCAGTGGCTCACACCTCTAATCCTAGTACTCCGGGAGGCCAAGGTGGGAAGGTTGCTTGAGCTCAGGAGTTCCTGACCAGCCTAAGCAAGAGCGAGACCCCCTCTCAATAGAAAAAATAGCCAGGTGTAGTGGTGCACAGTCCTAGTCCCAGCTACTTGGGAGGCTGAGGCAGTAGGATCGCTTGAGCCCAGGAATTTGAGGTTGCTGTGAGCTATGATGACACCACTGCACTCTAGCCCGGGCAACAGAGTGAGACTCTGTCTCAAAAAAAAAGAAGACAAAGAAGAAGAAAGGGCGGGGGGGGGGGGGAGAGAAGGAAAGGAGGATTTATTTAACTGGTTCTATGACCTAGATTTCCAGGCTTGCAATGACTACAGGCATAGCTGGATCCAGAGACTCAATTAACGTTGCTAGGAATCTATTTCTCTTTCCATGCCTTGGATCTGCTTGTGTCAGCTTGACTTCATTTCTGGCTGGGATCCAGAGGCTTTTATATCCTTTTCCCTTTCTTAGCTCTGCTTGTTATTGCTTGGTTGTATTCTTCAGATAGGCTTTTTCTATAAGGTAGGCAAAATCATCACTGACCTCTGTTGACCTATATCATTTACGCTTGGTAGCTTCAGCTATCTTCCTCCAAGTGCTCTGACAGAAAATTTAGGACAAGGCTAGGAAGCAGCTTCTGGTTCTCCTGGGTTGGGTCTCACACCCACTCCTGAACTCACCCTCTGTGGCCAGGAGGGTGGCATTTGCTAACTGTATAGACTTAGGTCAGCCCCTCCTGGTACACCTAGAATTAGTTTCCCACAGAAATGGGGGAGGGTTCCTAAAAAGGCATAGAAGAGATAATAAATGGGATGGAAAGGGTTGGAATATTAATATAGAAACTTAAAACTCTGGTTTCACTGGTGACAATATTTGAAAGATTAAGACATAGATTTAGAGACATTAAATGACCTTCCAATTGTCACATAGTAGCAAAGCTAAAAATATTTTTAAGATATGCCTTTTATTTGTTTTTAGTCACTGCTCTAAAAGTGAGGATTTCAAGCATTTTGGTCTGGTAAAGGGAAATCAATCAGAATAGCTCTGGATTCTCAGGAAGAGAGAAGAATGAAATATCCTCCATTAAATATTGTAGTAGGCAGAATTCTAAAATAGCTGCTAAGATTCTCACCCCTTGGTGTACGTGCTCTCTATAGTCACCACTCCTTGAATGGGACCTTTGAATATAATGGAATATCATTCCATGATTAGGTTAAGTTATGATGCCACTACACTCTACCCAGGGTGACAGAGCAAGACTGTCTCAAAAAAAAAACAACACAAGGCTGGGTGCGGTGGCTCATGCCTGTAGTGCTAGCACTCTGGGAGGCCGAGGCAGGCGGATTGCTCGAGGTCAGGAGTACAAACCCAGCCTGAGCAAGAGCGAGACCCCGTCTCTACTATAAATAGAAAGAAATTAATTGGCCAACTAATATATATAGAAAAAATTAGCCGGGCATGGTGGCACATGCCTATAGTCCCAGCTACTTGGGAGGCTGAGGCAGGAGGATTGCTTGAAGCCAGGAGTTTGAGGTTGCTGTGAGCTAGGCTGATGCCACGGCACTCACTCTAGCCTGAGCAACAAAGAGAGACTCTGTCTCAAAAAACAAAAAAAATCACACTGTTGGATTAACTCACTTTTGGCAACAAAAAAGAAAAGAAAGGAAGAAAATTAAATATCTATTTAAAAATAAATAAATAAATCCACAAAATTTGTATTGTTTTAAGATTCTATGTTTGTAGTTGTTACATAGCAATAGAAAACTATTATAATACCATGTTTCTCCCAAAATAAGACCTACCCATAATATAAACCCTCACAGGATTTCTAAGCATTTGCACAATATAAGTCCTACCCCGAAAATAAGAACTAGTGATGATCGTGGCTACGCAGCGCATCTGCACAACCCATGCATTTCGTCCCAGAGCGGTAAAGACGAGCAGCCCTTCTCATCTGCCCCATCATGACAGCTACTATCCCAGAGGTGACTGCAAAGGTGCGGCAGCCCCACCAACAAGGTTGGCTCCTCCTGTCAGGTCCCGGCCATCCTGTGCATGCTGCAAGCTGAGGCTTTGAGGGGAAAATAACACATCCCCTGAAAATAAGCCCTAGAGTGTCTTCCTGAGGAAAAATAAATATAAGACCCTGTCTTATTTTCAGGGAAACACGGTACAAGTTTCTTTACAGTTAAAATATTTATATGCAATATAGATATTTTCATATAAATATTTACATATATTTTATATAAAATATATAGTTTATATCATATATACTATATATGTTACAATATATAAGTATATGTCATACTGTAAAAATGTCTATAGTATATAGACCTTAACTTGGCAGAATCGTGCTGCCTAGTCTGGTGGTGGGGTAGCATGTCTTTGACACAGCTGATAGGCTCACAGACATAGGGGTCTAGTATATTTTAGTGATTTAGGACAGTGGCATTGTATAGAAAGAGCACTGGATTGGGAGACAGCAAATAGTATTCTGGCTCAGCCACCAATTATAATAATTGACTAATCTTAGATAAATCATTTAATCTTTTTGGGCTTCAGCTTCCTCACCTGGAAAAGAAAGGCATTAGACTGTTAGTTCTGGTGTCCCTTCTAGCTCTTACCTTCTACATTACCTGTGTCAGTATATGTAGCATGTACTTAAACCTGGGGGGAGGATAAGCTTTCCAAAGTGGTGACACACAAATATTCAGAAACTAAAATGTATGCGTACGGTTACAGGCCAGGTCAGAAAAGAGGAGCAGCAGAGGCAAATGCATTTATGAGAAAGAGTGGTGGTGGGGCGTACAGAGACAGAGACAGAGATAGGGTGAACGACAAAGAATCTATAGGAACAGCATCCGGAAATCAAGGAAGAAGAGAGTTTCTCTCTTCTAAATGCAGCTGGAATGGGAACTGTGAGAAATTAAACTTGCCAGTTAATGGTCACTTAAAGAATCACAGGCCATAAGTATCCTGTGTCTTTTATAACTTTCTTACCTAAATGAGAACACCAGGATCACTACTACCCAGAAAGCAAGAACATATTTAGAATTTCTGCAGGTACTATGTGCTGCTCTCTTCTGCGGACAAACCTCAGCCCACAAGCAACTGCCAGGTTGAAGATGAGACGTCCCAATGCATAGAAAGAACTTCCTCCTGGTCAATGCCAGGGGAGTTAGTATTGGCAGCTGTCACAGAATAAAAGGATGGAGGAACTGCCAGTCTTCCTAGTAAGACATATAGTTTAAAATAAAGATGAGATCTGACATTCCTAGATAAGATTGGGTCAAAGACATGTTTTTTCTTCCAAACAAAGAAGCTATAAACCTTTTCTACTTCAAAGATGGAACAAGATATGTGGTTAAATATATACATAAGTAATTATAAGGGGCTCTGGAATTCATTCATGTCTTCTGCTTTTACTTATACCGTATAACTAATTTCTTTAGGATATTGGAGGAAGAAGTTTCTTAATCAATTTACTTTGTAGGTGGTAGACACAAAACTTTTACAAAAATGATTGCTGCATCTTTTTTGTTTTCCGTTTAAGAATGATGACATTAAAAAAGTTCTGGAGATGAATGGTGGTGGTGGTTGCACAACAGTGTGAATGTACTTAACGGCACTGAACTGTGTCCTTCAAAATGTTTAATTTTATGTTATGTATATTTTACTATCATTTTAAAAATTTAATTAAAAAATAGATTGCTACACAGTTCTACCATTAGTTTATAAGGTGCCTATTTCATCACACCCTCATCAACATTAAAAATGTTGATGAATTGGGGGCATGGGCAATATATGTAACCTTAACACTTGTACCCCTATAATATGCTAAAATAAAAAAAGAAAAAGAAAAGCAAGCAAGTCACAGAAAAAAATATATAAATAAATAAATAATTCTAAAAAAAAAATCTTGACAAATTGATGTTAAAATAAAGAATGATAGTATTATATAGCAATGGATTCTAGTGGGAAAAATATATTCCAAGCACACATCTAAATGTCTCCTGAAATTCTGCTATTAAACATACTTGCCCTTTAAAATCATGTTTTTGAAGTGTTTCAGGCTAAACTTAATTTCAGGTCCTGCTTCTCATAGTTTTAGTAGCTTAATCCCCATCTCAGCCCAATCTTTAGGTTAATGTCTGGTCTTTGGTAAAACACATTAAATATATCTTATCTAACAACACTTTTCATCAAATGACTCTTGTTACTGGCAAGATTCTGATATTATACTCCATTTTTGATAGCTGGATTTTTGTTTTGTCTCCAATGGCTGAGTGCCCATTTTTGTAACCTTCCTAATATTCTAAATGCTGTATAATTGGGCTCAGCCTTTTACTCAACAAATATTTAGAGTGTCTACTATGTGCCAGGCATTATGTTAGGCGCTTGGGTTAAGTCAGTGGGTAAAACAAAAAACTACCTTTGCCATCATTTACTTTATGGTCCAGCAGGGGAAACAGACAGTAAACAATAAGCGTGATAAAAGACCTTAAGCTGGATGTGTGCCTGGCAGGCTTACGGAAGAACAACGAGGCCAGTATGGACGGAGCAGAGAGAACAACAGTAATCAGAGAGGTAGTGAAGGGCCAGATTATCCACGGCCTTAAGATCATTGTAGAGATATTATTATATTTTGAGAGAAAGCAAGAGGCATTGGACAGCTCTGAGCAGAGAAATAGTATGATCTATCTTACATTTTTAAAGTATCATTTAAGGTATAATATTTTTTTTTTGAGACAGAGTCTCTAGTCCCAGGCTAGAGTGAGTGCCATGGTGTCAGCCTAGCTCACAGCAACCTCAAACTCCTGGGCTCAAGCGATCCTCCTGCCTCAGCCTCCCGAGTAGCTGGGACTACAGGCATGCGCCACCACGCCTGGCTCATTTTTTCTATATATATTAGTTGGCCAATTAATTTCTTTGTATTTATAGTAGAGACGGGGTCTCACTCTTGCTCAGGCTGGTTTTGAACTCTTGACCTCGAGCAATCTGCACGCCTCAGCCTCCCAGAGTGCTAGGATTACAGGCGTGAGCCACCGCACCCGGCCTTAGGTATCATATTGATGACAGACTCTGGAAAGTCACAGGTAGAAGCAAGGAGACTACTGCAATAACATAGACAAAAGCACTTCTGCTTCCGGCCAAGATGGACTAACGGAGCCTGGATTTCCCCACCATCCAAAACACAGGACATGACATATCAAACAATGGTTTTCAAATACTGGACACATAATAAGTTAGCACGGTAGTGATTCTTTACAGGGAAGACAAGAAAGGTGAGCACAGTAATTGCCGCTGCTTACTACCTGGAGAGAGCTGCCAGGTCACAGTGCAGGGTAGAGCAGTCTAACTGGAGCCTGTGGTCTCACTGGATTGAAGAAAGGAAGTTGAGAGTTAGAGGGCCAGGGCGGCTGGATTCTCAGAGCAGAGTATCAGAGAGAAAAGAGATGCACAGAGGGAATTCTGAGATCTGCATAGGATCCTCCCAAGGCTTCGGTGAATACTGATCACCACATGCATGTGGCATAAGCGTGTAGTCCCAGCTACTTGGGAGGCTGAGGCAGGAGGATCACTTGAGGCCAGGCTGTAGAGCTCTATGATCATGCCTATGGACCCATTGCACTCCAGTCTGGGCAACATGGAGAGACCCAATCTCTTTAAAAACAACAACACACCCTTTTCCACAAAGTTTCTATTACTTCCGTATCGTGTCATAGCCAAAAGATAACAATCTGTTTAAGGGGATGCTTTTCAATGTCTGCACCCATGTGACTGTTAGCCTATTTTTTTGCTCATGCCTTTTGAAATATTTGTTCTGTCCTATTTTGATGCCTTTTTCCCTTGGATTGGTCCCTGTACTCTAACTCCATCTGCTGGAAGTAGCCTGAAATAACAATGGGTTTCACTATCAGTCTTCTGGGAACATAAAATTTATTATTGACAAAGAGAGGCATCTCCTTTAGGAGCTCCTTTGGTGACATTCCTTGGATTTGAAACATGATCTAATCTTACCTTTTCAAACTTTTATTCAGTCTGTTTAAAGATCCTAACAAAGCTAGGCAGAATAACAAGGCACTTTTAGAGGGATGTTTTGGAATTCAGATAGAATCATATGGTGCCTAAGGTAAATCTCTTGCTAACTTTTCAGCCACTGGAGAAATGGAATAAGTTTGAGATAAATTCATGCAACATATAATTGATATTTGATAATAGCTCAGTGCTTAATTTATAATTAGTGCTTTTTCTTAGTGGTTGCCCTGAGAACTACCAATAATACCTTAATTTATAACAATCTAGTTTGGATTAATACCAACTTAATTTCAATAGTCTAAAAAACTTTGCTTCTATGTAGCTTTATCTCTTTGCCCCTAGGCTGCTATTGTTAAAAATTACGTTTTTATACATGTGTGCCTAACAACTTAGATTTATAATTATTGCATCACATAGTTGTCTTTTTTTTTTTTTTAGACAGAGTTGTGCTTTGTTGCCCTTGTAGATACAGTGGTGTCATCATAGTTCACTGTAACCTCCAACTCCTGGGCTCAAGCTACTCTCCTGCCTCAGCCTCCCTAGTAGCTATGACTATAGGCACACCCCATCACACTTGGCTAATTTTTCTATTTTTAATAGAGATGGGGTCTTGCACTTGCTCAGACTGGTCTCAAACTCCTGAGCTCAAGGGATCCTCCTGCCTCAGACTCTCAGGGTGTTAGTATTACAGGCGTGAGCCACCTCACCCAGCCAGTTGTCTTTTAAATAAGACAGCAAAAATGGCATTACAAACAAAGTGTATATTTCTACTGTCTTTTATATTTATCTATGTAGTTATCTTTACTGGTGTTCTTTATTTTTTCATGTGGCTCAAATTACGTCTAGAGCCTTTTTATTTCAGTTTGAAAGACTCCCTATAGTATTTCTTGTAAGCAGGTCTGCTAGCAATGAAATCTCCAGTTTTTGTCTATCTGGGAATGTCTTAATTTGTCCATTTTGGAAGGATACTTTTTCAGATAGATATAGAATTCTTAGATGACAGGGTTTTTTTGTTTTTTTGTTTTAGCAATTTAACCACTTCAGTAGGGCGCTCACCAACCACAAAACCTTGCCCACAGCTGGCACTCAGTCCGCACGGAGAGTTTGTGCTGTGCATCCATTTTGCTCTTGTGTGACGAGGAAAGCCTTAAAGCACTGAAAGCTTGTTTTACTTTACAGGCAGCTTTCCTTGTAATGTAAATCAGAATAGGTAACATATACACATATGTTTTCACACGTTATTTTTAAATGTTCACATTTTATTTGGATAAATGAAAATTAGGAAAGCTAAGTTTTATTATTAACGCCAAAGTCGATGCTCGGCTGTGCACCTTCATATCACGGCTGTTGGCTAAAGTCGCTGTGCGGGTTCATCTGTGGCTATCGACTATAGTCGACGCTGGTACCGAAGTAGTTAAATATATCATCCCACTGCATTTTGATCTCCATGGTTTCTGGTGAAAAATCACCTGTTAACATATTGGGGATCCTTTGTACATGATAAATTGTTCTCTCACTGTTTTCAAGATTCCCTCTTTGTCTTCATCTTTCAACAATTTGATTATAATGTATGTAGGTGTGGATCTCTTTGAGTTTATTCAACCTGGAGTTCATAGAATTCTATGGATGTGTAGATTAATGTTTTTCATCAAATTTGGGAAATTTTTGGCCATTATTTTTTCAAATATTTTTTCTGCCCTTTCTATCTCTCTTCTTCTCTTCTTCTCCAACTCCCATTATAGGTATGATGATATGCTTAATGATGTCTCACAGGTCTCTGAAGCTCTGTTTGTTTTCCTTCATTCTTTTTTCTTTTTTTTTTTTTGAGACAGAGTCTCGCTCTGTTGCCCGGGCTGGAGTGCCGTGGCTTCAGCCTCGCTCACAGCAACCTCAAACTCCTGGGCTCAAGCAATCCCTCTGCCTCAGCCTCCCAAGTAGCTGGGACTACAGGCATGCACCACCATGCCCGGCTAATTTTTTCTAAATAATTTTAGTTGGCCAATTAATTTCTTTCTATTTATAGTAGAGATGGGGTCTCACTCTTGCTCAGGCTGGTTTTGAACTCCTGACCTTGAGTGATCTGCCCCCCTCAGCCTCCCAGAGTGCTAGGATTACAGGCGTGAGCCACTGCATCTGGCCCCTTCATTCTTTTTTCTTTCTGCTCCTCAGACTGGATAATTTCAACTGACCTATTTTAAGTTTGCCAATTCTTCTGCCAGCTCAAATTTGCTGTTGAGCCCCTCTAGTGAATTTTTCATTTTAGTTATTTTAGTTTTCAACTTCATAATTTCTATTTAGTTCCTTTTTAAAATTTCTATCTCTTTATCAATACTCTCTATTTGATAAGACATTGTTCTCATATTTTCTTTGGCTCTTGAAACATGGTTTCCTTTAGTTCTTTGAACATATTTAAAATATTTATAAAGTCTTTGTCTAGTAAGTCTAATATCTTATTACTGTGATTGGTGACATAATATAAGTTTATGTAAATATATAGCTTTGAAAAGTTTATTTCTTACCTATTTTTAAGCCAATCAACAAAAATGTATTGCATGCTTACTATGTGCTAGACATTGCTGATTTTTAAAGAAATCTTTTGTTCCTCCCTCCCATCAATCCCTTATATAGTCTTCTTTTCCTGAAAACATTCATACTTTACAGGAAACACTCCCATCTGCTCCTCTTCCCCTCCCAAAATAGTACTATCAAATTCCAAAAGGGTGGCTTAGTATGGGCAAGCCAGTGTCCCATAGAGTAAATGATATGGTTAAGACTGAGGGACTAATGGTCTTGTCCTTCAAGAAGGAAGAGAGATTTTTGTTTGCTTGAAAGGATTAAAGTGAGAAGAATAAGAAGGATAAAAGCATGATGAAAACCTGGATGAAAGAGGATCCCTGAAGCTTCTAAGTACATACTGACTTACATGCTATTAAGCTTTTCCTGACAACTCTAACCCAGCCCACAGTTCTTAAATGAGTAATATTTATGATTAGTAACACACTTTAGGTACTAAGTCATATGCTGTTCTGTGGCATTTCTTTAGTATTTTTCCTTTTCATTATTGGACTTTTCATATGTGAATATCTGATGTTCTGAAATATTTCCCTTGAAGTCAAAGTGAACATTTTCAAATATATCCCCTATAGTATCTACAAGACTGAAGATATTTGTATTAGTCAGGGTCCTTCAGATAAACAGAAGATACATATTCTCTCTCTCAGAGATTTATAATTGGCTCACGCAAGTGTGTAGGCTGGCAAGTCCAAAATCTGCAGGGCAAACTGGAAGCTCTGGAAGCTTGGACCCTATTTCTAAATACAGTCCCACTCTGAGATACAGGGGTTAGGGCTTTAACATATGAATTAGGGGGCAGGAGGGTGACAGATCGAAGACACAATTGAGCTCATAACAGTGTTCAATAAGTATTTGTTGAAAAAAGTCTTTATCCCTAAGTGTAATCTGAAATCTGAGCATACATATCTACATTTTTCCTTTCTTTTAACATGAACTTCCAGTTTTCTGTCATTTTGTACTTTAGGAAACCAAGTGTTGGTTCACACACTGCCTAAGCTTGGGTGAGGTTGGGTGGCAACCGCATTTGCCCTGATGCATTCATCTTTGAACTTTGGCACGTTGCATAGTTCACTTGAATGGATTTGAAAAAGAAATAGAGTAGCCTATAATTAGTAAGAAGAAGAGAGGAGGCACGAAGGCAAGCAAGGAGTGGCTTCAGCTTCAGCTGTTTTCTTCTCTTCCTTTCCTCAGTTTTATGACTTGATTAGGCCCCTGCTCTCTGGAGGTAGAACCTCAAATCAGCAGTCCTGAAGGGAGACAGAAACAGGCCCCTCTCCTCTGGCTGCCTCTGGAGTGAGGAGAGACAAGAACTGGCTTGCTGAGCATGTCACCCCCTTGCAGATAGTACTACTCTATCTCCTGGGAGGTTACCAGGTGGAGTGGGCTGATAGCTTTTTGGAAAGTACATCATGGAAAAGAAAAATATTCAAAGAAAATGTTAGCAGATATAAGACCAAAGACTATAAGTAAAACAAATAGAAATAATCTGGAAATGAGAAGATAATATCCTTGAGCAGAATGGTATGGGACAGAATATAAAATACATAGGGTCCAAGCTTCCAGAGCTTCCAGTTTGCCCTGCAGATTTTGGACTTGCCAGCCTCCACACTTGCGTGAGCCAATTATAAATCTCTGAGAGAGAGAATATGTATCTTCTGTTTATCTGAAGGACCCTGACTAATACAAATATCTTCAGTCTTGTAGATACTATAGGGGATATATTTGAAAATGTTCACTTTGACTTCAAGGGAAATATTTCAGAAC